ATCAGTTAGAATTAAAAAATATTATTAATAAAAAACGATTAATAAGAAATCACCAGTTTGGCTTTAGGGAGAAACATGCTACAACTGAACAGGTCCACAGATTAATTAACCAAATAACAACTGCTATGGAAAACAAGAAATACTATCACGTCTATTCTTAGACGTCGGAAAAGCCTTTGACAAGGTATGGCATGAATGCTTATTGAAAACTATAAAACAACACTTACAAGTATCAATTTACCTCTTACTTAAATCATCCCTAAACAATAGAACCTTTTACGTTAAAGTTAAAGACTCGCACTCAGCTGTACACGTAATATTTGCCAGTGTACCACAAGGAAGTGTACTGGGTCTGGTCCTCTATACGCTCTACACTGCTATACGCTGACAGTTATAAGAAAAAAATTTTTTACTTTATTTTCATAACATCGATATTTTCCTCACTTTTACTACCTACTGAACAATAATTTTGTGTTTATAATTGTGATCGATCAATATTTTGTATTAAATTCAATGTTCTTATATGCGTATATACATACATATATATATATATATATATATATATATATATATATATATATATATATATGTAAAGAAAGTATACTTTCTTCAGGTAGATTTGCCGCGCGTCTCATGATCCGCCCTTCCATTGTCCTTTGTTATTTACGAATTCTTTTGCTACCTACAAATCGAGCCGTTAAGATTTGGAAGAGAAACGGGCAGTACGAAATAGAACTTAGACGAGATTAGTAGCACGAGAGTGTATAAAGAAATTCATAAAAGATAATATATTAAATAAAATTTAAGTAGTGTGAATAATAAACGTAAATTGTTCTTTGTTCCTTTGTTCACAGAAAAACATATTTTCGTTAATCACCTCACATAATCAATCCGAGATATTATATATATATATATATATGAAGTAAAAGCAGTGTTTATTCGTAATCCGTTTGATTTATATTTAAAATAATCTGATTAAATAAAATTAGATTCAATATAAATTCGCGATGTAGAGTCTGTGTTAACATATTCTTCATGTTTCAGAAAGTTGATTGTGCAACAAAGTCTAGAGTAAGTAAATTTCTTTTTTAAACATTTCCTTCATAATTCAAAAAAAACTTTCATTATAAAGATCATACTAATAACTTTGTTTTTTTTTCTTTTTTCAGATAATCAATGCAATCATGTTGGTGATAATGAAACGAGTGTTGTACCGTTTAAATAATATAACAATCATGAATTAGGATTCTTCGTTTGTTACTTTAATTTCGTCCACGTTTAGTGATTTAAGTTTTAGTATCATATGCACTTAAATCGATTGCGAGCAAAGCAGTCAGTCTTATGATTTGTTTCTATAAAGTCTAAAATTATTTTTCTTTTTATACTGTATTACACTATTCGCGTAGTAGAGTCAGTGCATCGAAGAAAATGATCAAAAAATAAATACATTTTCTTCTATAAAAGCATATTGATAAGTAAATTTTTTTATTTTATTCCTAATAATTTCACAATTTTGCTATTAATATAAATTTAATAAAAATTTGTTTGTCTTTTTACTGATCATCATTATGATCGTGTCTTATTAGTCTACAACGAAGTTGAGCTTTTCAACTTACTTATGTATCGAACTACATTGTTTTCAATTTTCTATGGATCCATTCTTCTTTAATTTTTACTTACATCGTGGACAAGTGTTTTGGAACCATCGTAGAACTTTTTAAGTAGTGAGTGAACAAATTTAAAATACCTTCAGTACTTAATCATGCCGAAGATGAAAGTTCCGAATCAGCACAAGTTACTGATTGTAATATCTTAAATAAATTATTGACGAGCAGGGGTAATTCCTTATTTGGATTTACTCACGAGTGGTATATTCTTAATTGTCTAAATCTATTGTGCATTCTTATGTCTATTAGCTCAGGATAAGATCTTCTTGTTTCGTTGGTATAATTAATTAATGGAGCAATTAATAAACACTTTCTTTTGCTCGCGATATTAGTGATGAAATCGGGCATTATTTACTCGATTCCGTCTAAATTGAATGTGATGTAGTTTATATGTTATATGCATCGCTTTGTACTCATCTCATTTAAACGCGATTTAATTCGATATATCGATATCGTTGTACAAAAAAATGAACAGAAACATAAGTGCGACGGATAGATTCTGAAAAAAATTGGTGAATCATGATCTTATTCTTTAATTAGAATGGTCACTTGTTGAAAGGAGTCATCTGAGGTATTTTGTTTATTTTAATATGAAAAATTAATTAAATATTAAATTTTTTTTGTTCATAAAAGAAAAGTTTTGGAAAGAAAAAAGTCGAGTACAGCCATTGCTAATGGAAAAACCAAAGAAACTTGTAGAGTCATAGTCCGTAGACTCTAGAATGTGTTAATTTATTTTTAGATCAGATTTTCAGCTTCTAATAAACTAATTTTCGTTTCTTCTAATATAATATTCGCAATTTGTTTTCTTTGTTTAAGTATTATATGTATTACATGTTAGATAGAGTCATGCGTTAACATTTTTTTACAACGTGATATAGGGATGCATAAAAATAGATAAAAAATTAAATTGTAAAGTGCACCTACATATTGATACGTCAAATCCTATTATATTTCATGTCTTTGAACATTGATCGTGTATGATTAATATATTTTCTTTTCGTTATAGGAGAACATTGTTAGATTTGTTAACGTTAGTACTTTTCGATTTTCGCGTATTAGAGCTCCTAAACTGGCTACTATATAAAAAATATGTATGTGGGTGTGTATGCATTTCTGAAGGAAAGCACGAAATATAAATTTAATTATTTACGGTATAAAAAACCTTCAATAATTGTTATTTATATTAAAATTTCTACAAAATAATGTTTAAGCGTATAATGTTTCATTAATATCAGATTGATGTGATTATTACTTAGACTAGTTGAAGAACTATGTCATTTGATTTATATACATTAACTATTGCCATAACATGGCATCGTGCACTTATTTAAAATTATTGACTTGAAGGGCATTTTTAAATGCATAACTTTAAACACGACTTTTAGATTGCTAAAAGCAATTGGAATAGAACATAATTACAAATATGATAATGATAATAATTAAAAAATGCAGAATTGTTCAAAAGTTCTCATTCAAGATAGAAAGTTCTTTTCCAATTTCAATATGCAATTGTACTTAAAAATATACTAAATGCTGTGCACATATTCAAAAATTTCATTTAATTCCACTTACATCGATTATGTTTTCAACTAGAAAATGTAAGAAATAATTCGTTGAATTATATTTTTGTGAACAGTCTATAACATCGCTCACTATAATTTTGAATAATCTGAAAAATTATCTATTTGGAATTTATCTATTTGGAAAAGTTATTAATAGTGTTTATAAATGATATAATGAAAAGAGAAAAATAAAACGAGTAACAAAATAAGAAGGAAAAGATTATAAAGTTGATATCAATGGAAACGACGAGAAAGATGAAATGTTTACAAGCCGATGAAAACAAATGCGAAGAAGTAAGAAAAACTGACGCATCGATTAACGGAAATTCCGTTCGACGACATCCTCTCTATGCTCTTGACGCAGTCCATTTTTTCTATATAATTTTTCTGTATAATTTGCACAGAATATTCTTGATACTTGGACATACAAACCGTGCGCCTCTTCGACATAATCTCGTTGTTTTCGCGAAGATTTTTAAGCCAAGCTGGATACCAGCGTAGTCTATAATCGCAGACCAATAGTTTGTCTATGTGAAATAATAAAAGAGATAATCATAATCATAATTCAAAAACTTCTTTCTTCTTATATATTTTATTAGTCACGTATACAAATTTCTCTCTTATAAATATTTTTTTTTTAAGAATTTCTATTAAATTATTTTGACGAGGTCCCAATATCTTACCATGACGTCAATAGAATTTTCTACGTCTATAATCAGAATTATTTATTGAGTTTTTATCATTTCATTAACCCTTACTTATGTCGGTATCTCGCAATAAGTGCGAATACGATTAAACATCGACGATAGTTTCTGTCACTTCCTCTGGTATGCGAGTTTATTGTTCTGCAAGTTGAGCGTTTCCAATGAATTCTGATTGTCAAAGACTACCACCATTGGGTGGTAGGTCTTTGATTCTGAAACGTCTAAAATGTTATTACAAATTTTTTTGTAGGTTAAGAAAAATCATCGTGTCTTCGTAGGAGGTAAAAGTATTCTCGGGGATAATCCATGGTTATATTGTTAGCTCTTAGATCCAGATGATGCAAACGATGAAATTATCTCAGCACATTACTCAACACGGCGTGTAGATTGTTATCTCCTAACCCTAAATATTGTAAATTCTCTAAAAGAGGAAAAAATAGCACGATGATATTTTTGTTCCCGTTTGTCAGTTTAGGGAAATAAATCATTAGGTTTTCAAATTCAAATCGTAAATAAAATTTTGATATAATGAGTATCAGTAAGGTCATTTGAACTCTCATATTTTATACATAATATACAGAGATTGTATAATGATCGTAATTATATATCCACGATATATCCAAGCGAGGGTGAAAAATCTTACACGTAATGCATCATGCCTGCGTCATACACACTTCTTTGTAAGTGTTTGATTTGTACAAGCGATACGTTTATACCTACGGTATACTTAACTCATGCACTGTGCCGTATTACCGCTGTATTCAAGCATGGCAATCAAGTATAAATTTCTTTCAAAAAAAGAAATTACCTAACTTTTTGCGAAAATGGAGAGACTGTGTCCTACTTTAAACATTAAAGAAAATTGAACGGTCTTACTAACTATTTAAAATCAGATGAAGTGAGAAAATAAGTCTACCTTCCAAAGAAAAATTTAAAAGCAATTCGATTGTACTCACTTTCAAAACCCATAAATCTGTCTGGATCATCATGAATGATTTCATATCCATCGAGTTCCAAAGAATTTATAGTATAGGTATAGTGCGAATACGATTAAACATCGATATTATAAAGCACGACAATAATTATATCTTGGAAGCAATATCATTTAAATCATTTTTTTAAGTAACGCCGATATCTTTAGCGCCAGATAAAAAAATTGGTTGCTATTTAAAGGATTTATGATTATTTTTTCTACATTTCCTTAAACAAGTAAATAAGACAATCGCTATATTTCTGTGTAATATTTTTTGAAGAAAATAGAATAAAATTCTCAGAAAAAGTAGCAGTTCAAAACCTTATTTCATGATATAATTTCATCTGGATTATATAAATAACGTTAAAATTTTGTATTTGTCTAATTTTGTATTTGATCGTAGATACAGATGAGAAAGTGATTAATTAAAAATTAATCAAATCCATTAGCTTACCTTCAAAATCTCCTTCCTTGATTGATTATATTTTATTATCTTGCATCACCAGTTGCTTCAACATATCCAACGTGGAGAGTTGTTAATGCTATTTAATTAATTCTCTCTCAGATCGAGACGTTTTAATTTTCGTTTAATGTTAGTATAATTTGCATTACGATTAAAATGTGACCTGCCGCATTGGAATAAAATAATAATAAATAAATCGAAGTATCGTACTTGTATATTGTACATTGAATGAATCCGCTTCTATCCGCTTCTTCTCATTTTCGTAGAGAGTGAGAGTTTCAAGTATGTCGAGGCCTTCGAAAGCTTTGGCATGAAAACCATTTATATTATTGTGATTGAGATTCAAAATAAGCAAATGATGGAGATTTCTTAACGCAATCGATGGAACGATTGCTAAATAATTCTGCAGAAAGTTCAACTTTGTCAATTAGTTTCCTGAAACAATGAATAAAATTATTAATACTCAATAGAATTTATTAAGTTCGAATCATCGTTTAATCTTTCAGTCATTATCAGTAGATATTTCTGTTCAAATCTCTAACTTGATTCGAAATATGATTGAGTGAGAATTAAGGTCGAATTGAGCGAGATAATTTTTATTTAGGAGAAAGCAACGATACAATATCCTCTTTGATACAAGAAATTTCAATCATATTCTATTGATCTTGACAGATTTACTGATTGAGTATCACGAGGATTTCTCAATCGCAGCCAGAGTGCTATTGTAAATAATTGGTTGACATATATACAGTCCAAGAAATATGTAACCTTGGAGCTTCGGTAAATTATTGTATTTGAGTATCAAATAGAAAATGACAATATTTGGTTTTCCCTTTAGGGCATTTATGGGTTTGGAGATATACGATAATTCGGTCTGTTGACATAAGATATCCAAGTCAGCCTTTTTCATAGTACAGGAACAGGTTAAGATCTCGCGTTGATCTAGACACTTTGATAACTTTTTGCGCCAAACTGCTGGCCAGAAGGCAGATGAACCATGTTAACCTACACGCAACATTAAAAGTTCTACTCGTTCTCATATTTTCTATGAATATTTGCTTTCTTCGTTAATTTCTTCCTCTACTTCAACTTTTTTTTTCTGTTTCTTTTCATTTCTTTCCCGTCACCATTCCTTCTTCATTCTCTCCTTTTTCATCGCCCAACTCATCTCTATCGCGACCCTCTGTTTCTTATATTTCTCTTTTCTCATTGTGCCTCTCTTTATTCCCGTACTTCTAGCCTGCTGCATAGCTTCTGTTCTTCTCATACTCACTGTTCGATTCTCTGTACCGGTACTGAAAAAAAAAAACAGAATACATTCGTTCAAATTGCTTTTAACTTTCGCGAATGTACGATAGATAACGTAGAGAGAACATCTTCGAATTTCTTTAATTCAAAAAATTATTTTCTTCTAAAGCGGAATCTTGTAAATGAGAAAAAATCCATTTTCGGACTTACTTTGCTATAAAATGAGTAATTTCTTATCTTCTCAATGAAAAATTGCATCATGAAAAAAGATCGAGATATAAGTTCATTAGCGCAAAAAAACTAGAACGTATGTAATATTTAATAGTATAGGTTTTTTAAATAGTATAGGTAATTATACATCAATATACATTTTATATATCAAGGTGTACTATATATAATCGTAGCACCGGATGATGCGGATGACCGAAAACAATGCGGTAGGTACACGAAGAATATATATTTCAAACGTTGCAATTTATTTTCATAAGATAGAGGCCATACTACAGTGTGTATACTTAATTTTAAGATCGTAAGGAATTTACTAACTAGAAAATTAAGAAATATGTTAGAAATAGTATACAATGAAAACGATACGCGATAGGCCGCAGACGTTGCAATTTTTAATAGCTGAGAAAGCTAATAAAGTTCAATCAATCAATCAATCAATCAATCAATCAATTTCCAAATTCTACATTATGGAACATCGGTACCGTTAATCGAATGGACCTTTCGAATGTAATTATCATGGATCTCTAGATTATTTCAACTATTGTACAAGCAAACGTCGCGACTAGAACTAATATCTTATATTTGTTAATCTTTTTTATAACACGTGTCTATCAATAAAACGGTCGAACAGTTATGTCATCATATACGATGAAACTTTAGATCTTTCATTTGGTAAAGCAGATAAAATAAACTTAAACTAATTGAATAATTAAGTTATCCGTGCCATTGACAGTTCTCGCATGAATAGATTTAACTACAGAAGAAGAAGTGACAGCTATTCCCAGTAATATGTCATCCTTACAATTTCAGAATTTATCCATTAGCCTATTATCTTAATAGCTGCCTATTAATCTATTGAGCCAAACAATTTACAATATCATAGGAAGAGAAATGTAAATTACTGATAAGAAATTAATCTGCAATAATGACATGAAAGCAATCTATAATACCGACTTATGCATATCAATGGATTAATTTAAATACCGATGTCATATATATCAATAGAGCAATTAGAAATATCGATTAAGTAGAATATGGAGATGCTTTCATGCGTATATTCAAAAAAAAAACAAGAAAAGAATTATGACATTTTCACAGGAACAGTAGAAACTGAAGAGAATGAGAGCTCATCAAACATAATATTCTCTTCACTTCTGCCGGCTTTATCCAAGCTTTTCACATAATGATAACAAGAGAAACTCAGCTTTCAATAAGTAATTAAAAAATGAAATAGAGCAAAGTTAATGACATATAAGGGAGATTAATTATTCGAACATTAAATTCACGTAATGATTTTTCTCGTTGTATGATTGAAGACTTCGACCTCAAAGATAATATAATACAAATGAAAAGAAGAAATTTATTTAAATGAAATATTATGGGTTCCACATTATGGGTTCACCTTAATAATATATACACGCATACATTCGTATTTGTACAATAAGAATAAAATAATAGAGCAGATATATTGAATATTAAAAATGTAAAAGTTAATAAAATCAAACAGGCAAGTTCTACAACAAATACTGAAATTATCACAAGTAAGATAGTTGACCAGGCGAAGGAAATTAACGAAACAATTGATCATCAAAGTACGAACAGGATGGTGAGGTTGTTGGTAACGTTTCAGAATTACTAGAGAAATTATCTATAAATGAGAAATCAAAGAGAATCGGGTCTACATCTTCATGTATTTTTTAACAGAAAAGTTCAAAAATTAAAAAAGAGGAAACGGCAACAATTCAAAAATTATAAAAAGAAAGAAAAAGGACATAAGGAATTGCTAAGTGCATAGGTACGTTGTTTGTAAGATTAGCAAATATTGTAATTATTATTGCAACACGGTGTATGATGAATATGTGTGTGTGTGTGTGAAAGAATGAGTGACATAGATAATGAACGTGCAAAGTGAAGTGTGAAACAAAATGTCGGCAAAGAGCACCGAAGTGATGACAGAAAGCTTTAAAGAGAAAGAAAGACGATAAGAGATTAGACGAGAGTGAATAGAATATTCGAGGACGAATGTAAATATATACAGAATGGCGAAGTGCGAAACCGTTGTTGTCACAATCTCATATTACGACGATATTCTTTCGAATCTAAATCGGCTTTCTGGAATAAACGATATTAAATCGAACGTGATCATAGCCGCGTTTAGAATATTTCGAGAGTTATTATTACGATTCTCGATCTCATTTATGATTGTTTCCAATATCTTTAGATTTTCACATGTATATATATGTAGCAGCTAAAGGTTTTAAAATGATGTAACGTAGAAATGATGCAGTACCTAGTCTTCGATAATGTGTCGAGCAAAGCACCTATTCTTCAAATATCAATGCAACGCTCATGGGTCCACACGGTCACCAGGATAAAGGACCAAACATGAGATTGCTTAAACATTTCGAATGAACTATCCAGACATACCCACGATCAATAAGAATATTGCTTTCCCTTTCCATGTACCTTTTACTTAAATTCCTCTTTTTTTATTTTCCTTTCCTAATTTGTTAATACCTTCTTGGATAGTTCGAGAGAAATCTAAAGACAGTGGTATCCAAGCATTCGCACTCATTAGTAGGATAACCGACTCTTACGAATATCATTGGCTACGACTTTAACGGATGTAATCGGCACGATAGAAATCATTACTACATTCATAACTGTATCATACTTCAACAAATATACTGTGATAACTTCAATTCATGATACAATTCATTAACGTGCAGTTACCTCACGAGTTCCCCGGGATCTTTCAAAAAAATTCGCGTTCTCCTATTAATTCGCGAGAACCGGATCCGCGAACCTGGTCCGGTGCAGGACGCGTACTTTTGAAAACGCTCTCTTTAAACAGAGATTTTGATTTATTTTCTCTAAAAGCAAAAGTATGAATCATATACGTAATTTAATTTTTTAATGCTCGAATAAGTAAATAATTTCTTGAAAAATCTATACAGATCTACAAATTAGAATCAAAGATAGTAGTCATCATAGTAGTCATAAAATATTATATAATAGAAAAAAATAATCGACGCTATATATATTAAATTTGCTTAATTAATAATATTATATTAATGCTATTGATCTTTAGTGTAGGGTATATATATGATTGGGTATGATACCGAAATTTGACGGAAAAAATATGCCACTAACTTCATTTATAAAGGCATGTAAGAAAGCGCGACAAACGATACAGGAAGATCTCTTTACGATTAGCTGCAATACGTAAGTTGCACGATTCCGCGTACTGTGCGATCGAGAAGCACGATCTTAAGACAATGAGTTCGTTATGTAACAGACTCAGATGGACATTAGGGACGCGTCATTCACAAGAATACTACAAAGCAGAGCTTTGAAATATACTAATGAGAGAGAATGAATAAATGATAGAATACATCGGTAAAGTAAAAGATCTCCATGAGGCACTCATGGATGAAGAAGATTATTGGGAAGAAGCTTCCGATGTAAAAAAGTGCGAGATTGACGAACTCGCCCTCCATAGTTTCTGCACCGGGCTACCAACGGAGTACTTTCCATATTTATCGGCTCATAAATGTAGGGACCTTACAGACGCATGCGACAAAGCAATAGAATTATATTCCGCAATGGAACACGTCAGCACTTGCTTTCTTCGGGACGATCCAGAGAGGTGAGTTATAAGGCGATATTGAAGATTGAATAATTTCGTTTTCTAAGAGCTCGTTTATCTGTTTATTTATTTCCTCCTTGTGTCTAGGAGGGAAACGATACTGGCGTACGGAAACGGGTGTTGAATCTACGGTTTCGATCTTATGAGTTATGGTATTTGTGAACGTGAGTTTATCTCCTGGTAAATGAAATAGTTCCAGGGAATCTCTTATCATACCTTTTGCAGTTTTTATTTTTTCTACTTTTAGTGATTGTAGATTTATGCTCTGGAGAGCTCTCGTGTAACGTTCGCCAGATATGACAGAAGGTTTATACCAAACTTCTCCGCTATCAGCAAACCACTCACTAATCTCTTGAAGAAGACATACCATTCAAATGGGAGGAGAGCCAAGAGACGTCATTCAAAACGTTAGTAAATTTATAATGTCAAGAATCACTATTTCAATACCCGGAATTTTCAAAACTATTCGTCGTTACAGCAGACGCATCCAATTACGCTATCGGAGGAATATTAAGCCGAAGTGAAATAGGGAAGGATCTGCCTATCGCATATACTAAAGCTCGAGATTACTAAACCAAGCGGAACAGAACTGCTCGACCATAGAGAAAGAATTATTAGCCATTATATACTCAATGAATTATTTCAGACCATATCTTTATGGTACTAATTTCTCTTTAGTAACAGACCACAGGCCCTTAGTATGGCTGAATTCCATGAGAGACCCTACACCGAGATTGATACGATGGCGATTAAAGCTAGTCAAATATAACATTGTACATAAGGCCGGAAAGAGAAACGTAAACGCGGACGTTTTATCTCGAAACCCCGTGGACCTCCATAAACAACAAATACTTCCGATAGTAGGAACAAGCTCGAGTGACGAAGAAATGTATACAGTTAGAAATAAACGCGCAAGCACTCAAGAGTCTAAAGAATCTCAAGATAAGGAAGCGGATAATATAATAAAAGAAACTGTTCAAGTCTCACCCGACGTATACGATAAGACAGACGAAACTAGTGACGTAATTCCAACCGAAGAAACTTACACTCATATCGACAGCTATCTAACAGAGATAACAGACAGGATGATAATGTATAACGGGAAAATTACCTTCTTTATTACGACTAACGGAACTCTAGTAGATCTAGACGCAAAAGAGCTAATAGACAACCATACATTACCCACCATCATCGACGCAACCCTTGGAAGAATAAAGAAAAATGAAAGGTATTTAACTGTGTTTCCCGCCAAGGAAAGAATCTCACTCTCCATTCAACTAGAGACCCTGGACGAAGTCCTTCATTTTCTTCTTGACGTGGCCATCGAACTACAATTAAAAATGATAGCAATCTCTAGGGGACCAGTGAGAGATATACCCTGAGCCGACGTAAAGCGCAAAATTCGTTCGATCTTTTTAGGTAGAGAAACAATGATCATAATATTAAGGCATGAGATAGTGATACCTAAGGAAACCAAACGAATTGAAATAATACATGACAATCATTCGAGGCCTGTAGGCGGACATAAAGGTGTATCGGAAACTTGCTCTAAAATCCGACAAAAATACTATTAGGCAAATTTAAAAAGAGATATTCAAAATTAAATACAGAAATGAAGAATTTGTCAAACGAAAAAGCTTGTTAGGTTAAAAACTCATCAACCGATGACTATCACTGAAACGCCCGGGAAGGCGTTCGATAAAATATCTATGGACATCGTAAATCCGATACCTACCACGAAATCCGGACGTAGCTATATCTTAACAATGCAATCTTTTCAGTAAATATTCTATCGCGATTCCTCTTCAACAAGCTTCTTCGGAGGAAATCGCTGATGCATTTATTAAAAATTTAATATGCCGATTTGGCTCTCCAAAAGGTATCTTGACCGACCAAGATACTAACTTTTTGTCAGAATGAATGAAAGCCGTAGCTAGAAAGTCCCAAAGCCATCAATACCAGACAAGCGCGAACCACTCACAATCAAACGGTTCGATTGACCGATCACACCACATCCTCGTAGAATTTTTGAAACCGAAAACAGCCCAAAATGGGACGCGATTGGATTGATGTGGCAATGTTTTCATATAATACAAGCGTACACTGTAGGAACGATGTATACACATCACGAACTAATGTATGGCCAATTAGCCAAAACACCGAACGAGTCAGAACAAATTAATAAGTCTCAGGAAGCCGCGAAACAAAATTAAATTAACGTTAAAAATAAATCAAAAATATATTATGGCAAAAAGCAACGAGTTGTCAATTTTAAAATAAGAAACCGAGTGTACTTTCTGAAAGGGTCACATAAAGGTAAATTCGATGACAAATATGTCGGACTATTCGATGTAATAGAAATATTAAAAAACACAATATAAAAATACGTACCGATAATAGCAATCGCATAGTACACGCCAACAGACTCAAGATTGTTAAATCCAAATAAAAATCGGCATCATGGAAACTTGTAATAACGACACACGGTTTTTCTAAGCGCAGCATGGCGCAACGATCGCTCTCCCTTCCATGATGACGGTTGGTAAGGTGGTCTCACCTTAGTCTATAAGTTAGAATATAAGAGATGTTAAACGAGCTAACGGCCTCAGCTACCTTTCGACGCTTTGCAAAACAGAACAGTCCAGAACTCGACATAAAATCCTTACAATGAAAACCTTTATTTCGATGCTAACCTTAATAAAAATAGCAGTAGCACTGGTAGGGTACAATTGCGCTACGCAATTCCTGAATATTACTCGTATCGTACTCTCTCCTACATTGTGAGATCCCGAATCTCCAACCAATTAATAACACAGTTTACGTAGACTTACTACAGACTGCTGACTACTACTTCTTAAGAGTTTTACAATGTCGCGTGGAGATATACCGCACGATATTTCATTGCAGCATGTACTCACACGCGTCCATCGTTCATAATGGACGTCGAGAATACTTATTCATATTGACCCACCAATTGTGCCAACAGCTGTACTTTACGGGCAATCTCTCTCTAGACCCGAAGGCATTCATATAAGTCCTAAAGAAAAACAGCAATGACACAAGAAGTCTTACCCTGAATGGTACCGCCACGACAGATGGCACTTGCAAAGGTCTCAATATAGCAACCTCAATGGAACAAGAGATGACATAGTAGTACAAGACTCCGTTAGGATCACGCTACTTCGCCACTGTCATGACAAAAGCCAATCAAATCCACCTAAAATTTGGAACCATATGTGCATTGGACGAGGAAGCCTGCCTCGACTCGAATGAAAGCGAAAGTTACTGATCAAACATCTCAATTGACAGCTGTGGCTTCCATGAATATGACATCCTTTATGAAGGGTCAGCAATGAAACTAACACCTGCCGAATCATCTCAAGGACCCATACTTTACACAGTGCAGCAAAAGACGTTACGTTTACTCTAACAAGAACCAGCAAGTTTGTTTTATGCAAATATTTTTTGCTCTATCCGTAAAACAGAACACCTTAAGCTATTCATTATAGAAACATCACTTGGAAGAACATTTAAATGGAAGACTAAAACTTCCGTAGAGAACTCAGATATCCTTGCCTATGTGAATTCAAAATTTATATATGTAGAAAGACATCTTAAGACACAACTAACCTCATTATATGTCGACAATACGCAACAAAAGTGTGTCTTAGAGCAATAGGTTCTCAAAAATGCTCTTTCTTTAGCAACAATTGCACCCGAAGAAATGGCTTATGCCTTGATGAAGCAGCCAGAATACATGGCGGTCATCGCAGCAAAAGTAATATATATTATAAAATATATTCCTGTGGAAGTAAAGGTCAGGCAGACTGAGGAATGCTGTAAGGAATTACCGATCACATATCGGAACGACTCATATTTCCTAGCACCTATAACACGTATCATCCTGAAAGAAGCTTCACCAAAAGATTGTAATGAATTATTGCCCAACATGTATAATCTACATAGAACCTGATATAGAGTGACTCCGAAACTGATCGAATCAATACCTCCCCCAGTAATTCAACCTCTGACGAAGCCACAGTGGAGGTACATCGCGACCCTGAACACCTGGGAACAAGCGGGGATCTAAATAAACTCATGTCACACATCATGGAACCAGCTGAAAAACCCGCCATTATCGACACTCTTGCTAAAGAAGCTAGTGGGAGACATATACCTTCAGGCAAAATTTCCTTATATAACCTAATGGATGAAGAATCATTAAGTAAGATTGCATTAAGTACGGCACAACGACTCTGGGGAACCTTCGTAACCTTCGAATCAGCAAGCGCCGGAGTCTTGGCCATTTTTATGCCTCTTCGATTAGTGAAGTTCATCGTCGACATACTCACTCATGGGTACGGATTACACGATATTTATGAGTGGAGCCTACATCTCCTAGGAGCCATATGGAGTTCAGTAACACACTTCCTCCTCCACCTTGCCAAAAGAGTGGAACAAGAAAAACCACCCAACACAAAAATGGCACCCAAGACTACTGCCCTCCACGAGGAAAAGGGAGAATCCGCAGCTGACGCGCTCGATCGACCAAGCACATTATTCGAATTAAACGCGTACTTAAATAAAGATAAATATTAAAATGTACGTATATTTACGCACATTTTCAAATAAGGGGGAAATTGTTACATCCCACACCCCTCTCATACTTAGATTTAAAAACCTATTATCCACCTATAAAAATCTTAGTTTTTTAGTAATAAGTCCTTAATAATATTATTGTAAATCACTCATTAGATATAAGAAGTGATCGGGGACACCTTACATATTTATCAGTCTCTTTATTATATGAAATATTTTTATATAATCTGTAGTGCACCGGACGGAGTCCATGATACGTGACACACGTAACGCACTGGATGAAAGTCATAACATGCGCCACATGTAACGTACCAAACGTCCATATTGTCGGTAGGTCGAGGCAACGCCTCATCTCCACGGCAGAGCTACCGAAGTTCAGCCGGGTATAAAAGCGGCTGCACAACGGATTTCAGGGATTGTATTTTTTTTTCCGACGGTTATTTTCGGTTATTTTTTTCAAAAGTTATTCTCAAAGGTTATTCTCGATAGTTATTGTAAAGTATTAATAAATTAATATTGTTAAGTTAAAGTCAGTTTGTCTTAAATAATCCCGGCTGCTTAACTTCCAACAAAACCTTATGACATTCTAAACTATTTTCAAGTTACATTAATTATTTTCGCGAGTCTCAAGAACTTTCTACCACGCAGTCGACAAGTTCAAAGCTAAGAAAAGCTATCTGTCCATAAGGCGTGAATCCTTAACCCTAAGTTATTCTTTTACTAGGTGGTGCGTACGAATCGCACGATTTAATCGCACTACTTAACGATTCGGTTCGTTACCACAAAGATTTGGGAATTGTTCCAACGGAAACTATTGACCAACAAGAGGCCGTACCTTACTGCCTCATACCCATCACGGTCGAGAAGAAGACTTTCTATCCGAGTCGACTATTGCTGTCCGATCTTCGAGCGAAGCTCACCCAAGCAATTTCATATCGCCTCTAACCCGATCAACATTACGAAGGAGATCGTTTGAACGGAAGACAGCTCGTATTGGTGTCCATCCCGTGTCAAGAACTGCACATAGCAGGTAACGGCCAAAAAGGACACAAATTCCACAAAAGTAGGAGCACCTCAGGTAAGTTCAATAACTTATATATTTTTTTTGAGGCCCGTACCGTGTGGGACGTAACAATAGATTATATATTATAATAGTAAAGATAATTATTAACTTCGACTAAAGTAATGAGTAAATAAAGGATAAAAACAAATGCAGAAATTATCATAAGGTAGTAAGACAAGGAGAAACGATAGGGATAAGGAGGACGGAAACAAAAGAATCGTTTTGTACTTTTCTTCATATGTCGCACCACGTAAAATGATACACTTTTCCTTCTTTTGTTATTATAAATTACCGTCATTATATGTGTCATGATGGATATAATATATATATAAATATATTCTTCTGTTTATTCTTAATATTACTGTTCTTATTACTATTAGCTGGACCGGAAAGTAATGTCGTTTCTGCGCATGTCGATATTTGATTGTTCAAAATTGTTAAAAATTTATTCGTTTGAATTTAATCTAAGAAAGCGACATTACTTCACCTCCAGTGTTTTAATGTATAAAGTCGTTAATGTGTAAACTTAATTATTTTTGTCATAAAATCATTTGCCTAAAGCTCATTAAAATGACCGAGTAAGTTACTTCTCCGTGCGAGTGTCGAGAAACGCATTTCTTTGCGTTTGGAAATATTCAGAAAATCTGAGCATCAGCTATTTACGTACACAAAGAAGCGGGCAATCGCTATTTCACAAACATAAAACATGCCATACAACTCTGTATAATATTAAAATCAATACTGGAGGTTCTCTTTCGTCCCAAATTTCGAAGAGCTTCACAGTACAAAAGTATTTCTTCGCGAAAAATGTCGGAAACAGCATTTACGTTATCGATGAGAATAATAGGAATTCTTGACCAATTCTAATTAGCAAGATCTCATTTTAAAGAAGAAGGTTCAATCTAGGACATATTTTTTCGAATTTTTGAAGAAGCTTTTTATTTTCATATAAACTATTTTACATAAAAAATACCATTATTTAACACGATTTTTTTGAAAGAAAATAAAGCGTTTCCAAAAATATAATAAAGATGTGTCCTAGACGAAATCTTCGTAATTAAAATGAGGCTTTGATCATCAAAATCGGTCAAGAATTATGTCTGTTCTCATTGATGACGTAAAGCATTATAAAACCAGGGGTAATGACTAGTCTTAACGTGCTTCGAATGTGCGATTTGCTCCTGTAGCAAAACATACGAATTCAAAGAACAATTTTTAAAGAGATTGATTACTGAAGATCAAACGTGGATTCCCTACGAATATATTGTATGTAAACGCTCGTTAATCGTCAAATAATTTAATTTAATATTTCAATACGGTTAAATTTTGAACACTGAATCGTTGATTACCTATAATGTCAAGAAAAATGAACGGTGTATTGACTTGAATGTTATCAAAATAACTTTCTTTTGCATTTCGACATATAAATATCGAAGATCTCCCTTTCCAAACTTCAAAAATTAAAACATTAATACTTTCAGGAATTTTGTTGTTATTTAAATAATATATACTGAACATTGAGTACAGTATACTAACATTTAATCGATAGCAAATTTATTTAAACAATACATAGATCGAAACTTAAAATAATCTTAATTTTAATTGTCAATATTTAAAAATTTTGATTTTCACTGTCGTTTACGACTTGGAATGTAAACAAAAACTTTTGAATTTTATTCATTTTCCAGGTTATTTCAGGAAAATACCTTGCATGAAGACTGTTTCATCATCGAGGGATTCAAATTTTTATATGGCTATTTAAAGTCTTTCTACCTGAAATGTAGAAGAACTTCTTTTGTACTAAAAGAGACTGAGAAAGAGAGAGAAGGAATGAATATGGAAGATAAATGGAGATTGCACAATCGAGAGAGAGAGAGAGAGAGAGAGTCAGGACGAAATAAAGAACAAATAGAAATAAAATAAGAAAAAGAGAAAGAAATCAAGAAAAATGGTCTAAAGCAGAAACAACGAAGGATGTTACACCTGGCCTTCTATCCGTTTTTCCTGCGTCGCGTAATTGAAGCTAAAGTACGGTGCACACGAGGTATAACACTATTGTCTCCGCTACGGGGGAAGAAACATAGAGATAGAATATTGGTGGCATCGGCGCATCGCAGCCATTTCAAATCTGAGTGACCACTCGTAAAGGAATGGAGTCGAGTTGAGTGCGAGACATCGAACAGTAGGGGTGTGCAGCCCAGTAAAGGACGCCTTCTCGATCAATAGACAACGAAGTCAATTATTCATTACGACACACCGTTCGTGTTCTCCTTCATTACATTTTGTCAATCATTACTATAAAAATTATTATAGCCCTCGATCTCTATGAGCGAACGGATAAACAGCTGAAATTCTCACTTTTTCATTTTTTCTTTTATTCCTCCCTGAATTATTAGAAATCATTCAACGTATTATCGCGCACACATATAGTGATGTATTAATATTGTTATTATCATTATTGTCATTATTATTATTGTTAATATCTTTTTTTAAAAATCAGTAAATACATAGTGTTTTAATACGCACGGTTTTTTTCAATCCGTACAGTACATATTACATCAAACCTTCTGTACAAGAGCAAAAGAATCATTATCTTACGTGGAAAAAATTATAATTTCCCTTCGATATTTTCTCTCTGTTATCTTCTATATCAATCTCGTGCTTGACGAATTTTACCTATATTGTCTCTGTAGAAAGAGAGGATCTAAATTTTACTGTGACAAGCACCTTGGTTTCATTGAATTTCGCAATTGGTAAGTATACACACTTACCATCACGCTAAACCTCTCTGTATATGTTTTATTGCATTTTGAACATTTTCTTTATTGTGTTTTTTCTCTTAAGAAAAATAATTGAACTTTATTCGCTAATGTATATTCGCTTCCCGTCGGATATATATCATGTTTATTTTATTATATTCTTTTCTTGTTCTTCAATGTTGAGTGTTTCGCATCAATGTGGAATATGCTTGTGACGCGTGGTGTATAAGATTGTGTAGGAGAAGTATATTTGTTCAAAAAGTATTCTTGTTTGCACTAAGTAATTGTCGCCTTTCGTTGATAGATTGAATCGTTTTAAGCTTATGATCGTATCAATATGCGCTATGATGTAAAGAGAATTGAACTCGAAGAAGTAGTCGATTCAAGAAAATTAAATTCGGTGCAATCCTTATAAATAGATCATGCTATTGGCGTATTGATCTTATAAGAAAATTAAATTATATTATGATTAATTCATCGTACTTAAAAATTTTTAGAAAAATGAACAGCTTTCGCTAGCATCGATCATGATCCTTCTTTTTCTATTCTTATTAATTTTCTTTTTTCTTACGGAGAATTGGAAAATTTTCTAAAAGCTTTATAACAATCGATTTTACATTATCGTAACAATTATCGAAGTTCGTGAAGTTTATTTTAATCATGCTTTAACGTAATGCGATTTAAACAATCATCATTACTTTATTGTTCATTCAAGTCGAATCATGTATGAGTCCGTTCGTTTTGCGAAGCACTAATTGACCGGTTATACAAAAATGAACTTTATGAGCAATACCACTCGCACGATTTACTGCTCACTTTCGTGAAATGGTCGATTTTATGGATAGAGTTATGTAACTGCGTGTAACCGCAAGAAAATACAAACTCTCTCTCTCTCTCTCTCTCTCTCTCTCTCTCTCTCTCTCTCTCTTTCTCTTCCTTTTCATTATGGTTTTACCTGATTTCGTAGACGACAAAAACGAAGAGCAGGACGTCGAGTCGACTTCGTCGGTAGAACGTAAAAATAGATGGAGTAAGAAAGCACACGATTGCGTGACGAATATCAATATCCCAATTCTTAACGATCATTCGGATGCTATCTGTTCGTATTATCGTTTTCTGTTCATTTTTTTCCTTATTTTCTTTTCATTCTTTTCCTTCTACCTGTATAAATCTTACGTGACGCGCATGATATATATACGAGAGAAAAAGAAAGAAAGAGAGAAAGAGGAAGAGAGAGAAAGGGAGAGAGACAAGCAGGTAGACAGACAGATAGA